TACACACACGTACACACGCACACGTACACACACAGACACACACACACACACGCACACGTACAGACACGCACAGACACACACAGACACACACACACAGACACACACGCACGGACACGTACACACACGTACAGACACGCACGTACACACACGCACGGACACACGCACAGACACGTACAGACACGCACACACACGTACAGACACGCACAGACACATACAGACACGTACAGACACACACACACGTACAGACACGCACGCACACACGTACAGACACGTACAGACACGTACACACACGTACACACGCACACACACGCACATACACGTACACACACACACACGCACACACACGCACAGACACGTACACACACACACACACGCACGCGCACGTACAGACACACACACACGTACACGCACGTACACACGTACAGACACACAGACACGTCAGTTTAACACGTAGGCTTTCGCGACCAATATTATTCATAATAAAGGTTTTTGGGTTATAAATAAACGCGATCTAACCCAAAAACCTTTATTATGAACACAGACACGTACACACACGTACAGACACGTACACACGCACACACACACGTACAGACACGTACACGCACGTACACACGTACAGACACACAGACACGTACAGACACACGTACAGACACGTACAGACACACGCACAGACACACACACACGCACAGACACGTACACACATACAGACACGTACAGACACGCACGCACACACGTACAGACACGTACAGACACGTACACACACGCACACGCACACGTACAGACACGCACAGACACGTACGCACACGTACAGACACGCACAGACACGTACACACATACAGACAAGTACAGACACGCACACGCACGTACAGACACGCACAGACACATACAGACACGTACAGACACACACACACACGTACAGACACGTACAGACACGCACGTACAGACATGCACGCACACACGCACACACGCACACACACGCACACACACGTACAGACATGCACGCACACACGCACACACGCACACACACGCACAGACACGTACACACACACACACACGCACGCGCACGTACAGACACGCACACACACACGTACACACACGTACAGACACACACACACACGTACACACACGTACACACGCACACACGTATAGACACGTACACACACACACACACGCACAGACACGTACACACGTACACACACGTACAGACACGTACACACACGTACACACGCACACGTACACACACAGACACACACACACACGCACACGTACAGACACGCACAGACACACACAGACACACACACACAGACACACACGTACAGACACGCACACACACGTACACACACGCACGGACACGTACACACACGTACAGACACGCACGTACACACACACACGCACGGACACACGCACAGACACGTACAGACACGCACACACACGTACAGACACGCACAGACACATACAGACACGTACAGACACACACACACGTACAGACACGCACGCACACACGTACAGACACGTACAGACACGTGCAGACACGTACACACGCACACACACGCACAGACACGTACACACACACACACGCACACACACGCACAGACACGTACACACACACACACACGCACGCGCACGTACAGACACACACACACGTACACGCACGTACACACGTACAGACACACAGACACGTCAGTTTAACACGTAGGCTTTCGCGACCAATATTATTCATAATAAAGGTTTTTGGGTTATAAATAAACGCGATCTAACCCAAAAACCTTTATTATGAACACAGACACGTACACACACGTACAGACACGTACACACGCACACACACACGTACAGACACGTACACGCACGTACACACGTACAGACACACAGACACGTACAGACACACGTACAGACACGTACAGACACACGCACAGACACACACACACGTACAGACACATACAGACACGTACAGACACGTACAGACACGCACGCACACGTACAGACACGCACGCACACACGTACAGACACATACAGACACGTACAGACACACACACACACACATGTACAGACACACGCACAGACACGTACAGACACGTACAGACACGCACAGACAAGTACAGACACACACTCACACGCACACGTACAGACACGCACAGACACGTACGCACATGTACAGACACGCACAGACACGTACACACATACAGACACGTACAGACACGCACGCACACACGTACAGACACGTACAGACACGTACACACACGCACACGCACACGTACAGACACGCACAGACACGTACGCACACGTACAGACACGCACAGACACGTACACACATACAGACAAGTACAGACACGCACACGCACGTACAGACACGCACAGACACATACAGACACGTACAGACACACACACACACGTACAGACACGTACAGACACGCACGTACAGACACGTACAGACACACACACACGCATGCACACACACGGACATTACACACACGCACAGACACACACGCACACACACACGTACACACACACACGTACACACGCACACGGACTAGCACGGGCACGCACACACACACGCACACACAGACACGCACACGCATGGACATTACACACACGTACGGACACACGCACGCACACGCACGCACACACACGTACACAGAGACAAAGATCCCCCGTGTAGCCTCTAACAGGCTGCAGGGGCAAGTGCTGCTAGCAGCGAGCATCACCTGTACAGACACACAGACAAAGATCCCCCGTGTAGCCTCTAACAGGCTACAGGGACAAGTGCTGCTAGCAGCGAGCATCACCTATACAGACACACAGAGACAAAGATCCCCCGTGTAGCCTCTAACAGGCTGCAGGGGCAAGTGCTGCTAGTAAGAAGCCTGGCACTTTGGCACATCAGGGGTGTGGGTGGCCAGCACCACGCCCGGCCGCCTTTGTCTCTCCCCCAGTGCTAGCGATGTTGACTACTCCACACCACCACACCAGGTACTCATTTGAGGTTGAGTCGACCTAGGGGAGGCCCAGGACCGGTCACCACACAGAGACCCATAGACTCACCACACAGAGACCCACAGACTCACCACAGACTCACCACACAGAGACCCACAGACTCACTACACAGAGACCCACAGACTCACCACACAAAGACCCACAGACTCACCACACAGAGACCCACAGACTCACCACACAGAGACCCATAGACTCACCACACAGAGACCCACAGACTCACCACACAGAGACCCACAGACTCACCACACAGAGACCCACAGACTCACCACACAGAGACCCACAGACTCACCACACAGAGACCCATAGACTCATCACACAGAGACCCATAGACTCACCACACAGAGACCCATAGACTCACCACACAGAGACCCACAGACTCACCACACAGAGACCCATAGACTCATCACACAGAGACCCATAGACTCATCACACAGAGACCCACAGACTCACCACACAGAGACCCACAGACTCACCACACAGAGACCCATAGACTCATCACACAGAGACCCACAGACTCACCACACAGAGACCCACAGACTCACCACACAGAGACCCACAGACTCACCACACAGAGACCCACAGACTCACCACACACACAGACTCACCACACACACACACTCACCACAGAGAGACTCACCACACACACAGACACACAGAGACTCACCACACAGAGACTCACCACCACACAGAGACTCACCACACACACACACTCACCACAGAGAGACTCACCACACACACAGACACACAGAGACTCACCACACAGAGACTCACCACACACAGACTCACCACACACACACACTCACCACAGAGACTCACCACCACACAGACTCACCACACACACACACTCACCACAGAGAGACTCACCACCACACACAGACACACACAGACTCACCACAGAGAGACTCACCACCACACACAGACACACAGAGACTCACCACCACACAGAGACTCACCACACACACAGACTCACCACACACACACACTCACCACAGAGAGACTCACCACACACACAGACTCACCACACAGAGACTCACCACAGAGAGACTCACCACACACACACACTCACCACAGAGAGACTCACCACACACTCACCACAGAGAGACTCACCACACACACAGACTCACCACACACACAGACTCACCACACACACACACTCACCACAGAGAGACTCACCACACACACAGACACACAGAGACTCACCACACAGAGACTCACCACACACAGACTCACCACACACACACACTCACCACAGAGAGACTCACCACACACACAGACACACAGAGACTCACCACACAGAGACTCACCACCACACAGAGACTCACCACCACCACCACCACACAGACTCACCACACACACAGACTCATCACACAGAGACTCACCACACACACAGACTCACCACACACACACACTCACCACAGAGAGACTCACCACACACACAGACACACAGAGACTCACCACACACACAGACACACAGAGACTCACCACCACACAGAGACTCACCACCACCACCACCACACACACACACTCACCACACACACAGACTCACCACAGAGAGACTCACCACCACACACACAGACACACAGAGACTCACCACCACACAGAGACTCACCACCACACAGACTCACCACACACACACACTCACCACACACTCACCACAGAGAGACTCACCACCACACACAGACACACAGAGACTCACCACCACACAGAGACTCACCACCACCACCACCACACAGACTCACCACCACACAGACTCACCACACACACACACTCACCACAGAGAGACTCACCACACACACAGACACACAGAGACTCACCACACAGAGACTCACCACCACCACCACCACACACACACACAGACACACAGAGACTCACCACCACACACAGAGACTCACCACCACCACCACCACACACACACACAGACACACAGAGACTCACCACCACACACAGAGACTCACCACCACCACCACCACACACACAGAGAGACTCATAGACTCATCATCACACACAGACTCACCACCACCACCACCACCACAGAGACTCACCACCACACAGAGACTCACCACCACAAAGACTCACCACCACCACCACCACCACAGAGACTCACCACCACACAGAGACTCACCACCACACAGAGACTCACCACCACCACCACCACCACAGAGACTCACCACCACACAGAGACTCACCACCACAAAGACTCACCACCACCACCACCACCACAGAGACTCACCACCACACACACAGACTCACAGAGACTCACCACACACACACACTCACCACACAGAGACTCACCACCACCACCACCACCACTGTTCCCCCAGGAGGCTCGCCGCGTGGCTCTGCAGGAGCTGGCCGTGAGTCAGGCGGCGCTGTCCCAGGCCCAGCTGCGTCTGCACGAGGTGGAGGCCGGAGTGGCTCGCCTGAGGGCCGGCCACACCGAGGCCACGGAGCGCCGGGAACTGCTGCAGGCCCGGAGCGACCAGTGTGAGGGACGTCTGGGCAGGGCCGCACAGGTGGGGAGAGGGGGAGGGGGAGGGGGTTGTAACGTTGACGTTGATGTGTGGTGAAGGGTGAGTTGAGATGGCAGTCTCACTGACTCACTGTTTCACTCACTCACTCATTCACACACTCATACACTCAGTCATACACTCACTCATTCATACACTCACTCATACACTCACTCACTCAACCACTCACACACTCACTCATACACTCACTCATACACTCACTCATACACTCACTCATACACTCAGTCATACACTCACCCACACACTCACTCACTCATACACTCACTCATACACTCACTCACTCATACACTCACTCATACACTCACTCATACACTCACTCAACCACTCACTCAACCACTCACTCATACACTCACTCACTCATACACTCACTCATACACTCACCCACTCACACACTCACTCACACACTCACTCATACACTCACTCATACACTCACTCATACACTCACTCATACACTCACTCATACACTCACTCACTCATACACTCACTCATACACTCACTCACTCATACACTCACTCATACACTCACACACTCACTCACACACTCACTCATACACTCACTCATACACTCACTCATACACTCACTCACTCAGCCACTCACTCATACACTCACTCACTCATACACTCACTCATACACTCACTTATACACTCATTCATACACTCACTCATACACTCACTTATACACTCACTCAACCACTCACTCATACACTCACTCACTCAGCCACTCACCCACTCATACACTCATTCACTCATTCATACACTCACTCATACACTCACTCACACACTCACTCATACACTCACTCATACACTCACTCATACACTCACTCACACACTCACTCATACACTCACTCATACACTCACTCATACACTCACTCATACACTCACTCACTCATACACTCACTCATACACTCACTCATACACTCACTCACTCATACACTCACTCATACACTCACTCATACACTCAACCACTCACTCATACACTCACTCATACACTCACTCACTCAACCACTCACACACTCACTCATACACTCACTCATACACTCACTCATACACTCACTCATACACTCACTCAACCACTCACTCATACACTCACTCATACACTCACTCATACACTCACTCACTCAGCCACTCACTCATACACTCACTCATACACTCACTCAACCACTCACTCATACACTCACTCATACACTCACTCATACACTCACTCATACACTCACTCATACACTCACTCACTCAACCACTCACACACTCACTCATACACTCACTCATACACTCACCCACACACTCACTCATACACTCACTCATACACTCACTCACTCACACACTCAACCACTCACTCACTCATACACTCACTCAACCACTCACTCAACCACTCACCCACTCATACACTCACTCATACACTCACTCAACCACTCACTCATACACTCACTCACACACTCACTCATACACTCACTCATACACTCACTCAACCACTCACTCATACACTCACTCACTCAGCCACTCACTCACTCATACACTCACTCATACACTCACTCATACACTCACTCATATACTCACTCACTCATACACTCACTCATACACTCACTCACTCATACACTCATTCACCTCAACCACTCACTCACTCATACACTCACTCACTCATACACTCACTCACTCATACACTCACTCATACACTCACTCACTCAACCACTCACTCACACACTCAACCACTCACTCACTCAATTACTTACTCAACCACTCACTCACCCACTCACTCATACACTCACTCACACACTCACTCACACACTCACTCATACACTCACTCATACACTCACTCATACACTCACTCAACCACTCACTCAACCACTCACTCACTCAACCACTCACTCACACATTCAACCACTCACTCACTCAATTACTTACTCAACCACTCACTCACCCACTCACTCACTCATACACTCACTCACTCATACACTCACCCACTCACTCACCTCAATCACGCACTCATACACTCACTCACGCACTCACTCACTGACTTACTCACTCAACCACTCACCCACTCATACACTCACGCACCCACTTACTTACTCACTCTCCCACTCACTCACTCAACCACTCACCCACTCACTCACCTCAATCACGCACCCACTCACTCACCCACTCACTCACTCAACCACTCACTCACTCACTCACGCACTCACTTACTTACTCACTCAACCACTCACTCACTCAACCACTCACTCATTCACTCATTCATACACTCACCCACTCACTCAACTACTCACTCACTCACGCACTCACTCACTCAACCACTCACTCACCTCAATCACCCACTCACTCACTCAATCAACCACTAACTCACTCATACACTCACTCATACACTCACTCACTCAACCACTCACTCACTCAACCACTCACTCACCCACCCACTCGCTCGCTCACTCAACCACTCACTCACCTCACTCACACACCCACTTACTCAACCACTCATTCACTCATACACTCACTCACTCACCCACCCATTCACTCACTCACACCCCCACTCACTCACCCACCCACTTACTCACTCACCCCCCCCACCTACCCACTCACCCTCCCACCTACCCACTCACACCCCCACTCACCCACCCACCTACCCACTCACCCTCCCACCTACCCACTCACCCCCTCCACCTACCCACTCACACCCCCACTCACCCTCCCACCTACCCACTCACACCCCCACTCACCCATCCACTCACTCACTCACTCACCCTCCCACCTACCCACTCACATCCCCACTCACCCACCCACCCACTTACTCACTCACCCCCCCCCACCTACCCACTCACCCTCCTACCTACCCACTCACACCCCCACTCACCCATCCACTCACTCACTCACCCTCCCACTTACTCACTCACCCTCCCACCTACCCACTCACACCCCCACTCACCCTCCCACCTACCCACTCACACCCCCACTCACCCATCCTCTCACTCACTCACTCACCCTCCCACCTACCCACTCACACCCCCACTCACCCATCCACTCACTCACTCACCCTCCCACCTACCCACTCACATCCCCACTCACCCACCCACCTACTTACTCACTCACTCACTCACCCCCTCCACCTACCCACTCACCCTCCCACCTACCCACTCACACCCCCACTCACCCATCCTCTCACTCACTCACTCACCCTCCCACCTACCCACTCACACCCCCACTCACTCACCCACCCACTCACTCACTCACCCCCCCCACCTACCCACTCACCCTCCCACCTACCCACTCACACCCCCACTCACCCATCCACTCACTCACTCACCCTCCCACCTACTCACTCACCCTCCCACCTACCCACTCACACCCCCACTCACTCACCCACCCACTCACTCACTCACCCCCCCCACCTACCCACTCACCCTCCCACCTACCCACTCACCCTCCCACCTACCCACTCACACCCCCACTCACCCATCCACTCACTCACTCACCCTCCCACCTACTCACTCACCCTCCCACCTACCCACTCACACCCCCACTCACTCACCCACCCACTCACTCACTCACCCCCTCCACCTACCCACTCACCCTCCCGCCTACCCACTCACACCCCCACTCACTCACCCACCCACTCACTCACTCACCCCCCCCCACCTACCCACTCACCCTCCCACCTACCCACTCACACCCCCCGCTAACCCACCCACTCATCCACCCACCCACCCACCTACTCCCCCTGCCCGTGATGATGCAGCTGATTGGCGGCCTTGCGGATGAGAGGGTCCGTTGGAGCGAAGCCATCAAGGATCTCGACTGTGCCCTCACCAACATCGTTGGGGACGTTCTGTTGGCCGCGGGCTTCGTGACCTACCTGGGTCCCTTCACGGTCAGTGGGAGAGAGAGACATGGACAGAGAGACAGAGAGAGACAGACGGACAGAGAGAGAGAGAGAGAGAGACACGGACAGAGAGACAGAGAGACACGGAGAGAGACAGAGAGAGAGACACGGACAGAGAGAGAGGCAGAGATAGAGAGAGACACAGACAGAGAGGGAGAGAGAGAGACAGAGAGAGAGAGAGACACGGACAGAGAGAGAGAGAGACAGGGACAGAGAGGGAGAGAGAGACACGGACAGAGAGAGGCAGAGAGAGAGAGAGACACGGACAGAGAGAGAGAGAGAGAGACACGGACAGAGAGAGAGATAGAGACAGTGAGAGATAGAGACAGAGATAGAGAGACAGATAGAGAGTGAGAGAGACAGAGAGGTCACCGCAGCATCTGGCTGACGGGGGAGACTTCCCGCAGCATCGGAGCTTCGGCAGCTCACCGGAGGAGGCGGAGGAGGAGGAGGCGGAGGAGGAGGCGGAGGAGGAGGAGGAGGAGGCGGAGGAGGAGGCGGAGGAGGAGGAGGAGGCGGAGGAGGAGGAGAAGGAGGGGGGGGGTGGTGGTGTTGGGAGCGCCGCCATCGTCCCGCCGGCCGCCCGCCGGCTTCAGCCGCGGCTCCTCCGCGGCTCGGAGGAGCGGCCGCCAGCGGAGGAGCCGCCTGGCGGTGCCGCCGGTCTCGGCCGCGGCCTTCCGCTCTCGCGCCGGGACGAGGGGGGCGGCCCGCTGAGGGACCGCGCGAGGCCGCGGGGCGCGCCGCTCGGCCCCGCTCGAAAGCTCTCCGCCGCGCGTCCAAGAGGCGTTCCCTGGCGGTAACCCTGGCAAGCCTCGTGCGGTCGACCGGGCTCGGGCCCGTCGGGGAAAGGTCTAAGAAGAGGAGGCCCCAGTGTCCAAGGCCTTCTCCTGGTCTAAGAAGAGGAGGGCCCCAGTGTCCAAAGGCCTTCTCCTGGTCCCAGAAGAGGAGGCCCCAGTGTCCCAAGGCCTTCTCCTGATCCACGAAGAGGAGGGCCCAAGGCCTTCTCCTGGTCTAAGAAGAGGAGGCCCCAGTGTCCCAAGGCCTTCTCCTGGTCCACGAAGAGGAGGCCCCAGTGTCCAAGGCCTTCTCCTGATCCACGAAGAGGAGGGCCCCAGTGTCCAAGGCCTTCTCCTGGTCTAAGAAGAGGAGGCCCCAGTGTCCCAAGGCCTTCTCCTGGTCTAAGAAGAGGAGGCCCCCAGTGTCCAAGGCCTTCTCCTGGTCTAAGAAGAGGAGGCCCAAGTGTCCAAGGCCTTCTCCTGATCTAAGAAGAGGAGGGCCCCAGTGTCCAAGGCCTTCTCCTGATCCACGAAGAGGAGGCCCCAGTGTCCCAAGGCCTTCACCTGATCCACGAAGAGGAGGCCCAGTGTCCCAAGGCCTTCTCCTGGTTTAAGAAGAGGAGGCCCCAGTGTCCAAGGCCTTCTGGTCCACGAAGAGGAGGCCCCAGTGTCCCAAGGCCTTCTCCTGATCCACGAAGAGAGGGCCCAAGGCCTTCTCCTGGTCTAAGAAGAGGAGGCCCCAGTGTCCAAGGCCTTCTCCTGATCCACGAAGAGGGGGCCCCAGTCTCCAAGGCCTTCTCCTGGTCCACGAAGAGGAGGCCCCAGTGTCCAAGGCCTTCTCCTGATCCACGAAGAGGGGGCCCCAGTCTCCAAGGCCTTCTCCTGGTCTAAGAAGAGGAGGCCCCAGTGTCCAAGGCCTTCTCCTGGTCTAAGAAGAGGAGGCCCAAGTGTCCCAAGGCCTTCTCCTGGTCTAAGAAGAGGAGGGCCCAGTGTCCAAGGCCTTCTCCTGGTCCACGAAGAGGAGGGCCCAGTGTCCAATGCCTTCTGATCTAAGAAGAGGAGGCCCAGTGTCCAAGGCCTTCTCCTGATCCACGAAGAGGAGGCCCAGTGTCCAACGCCTTCTCCTGGTCTAAGAAGAGGAGGCCCAAGTGTCCCAAGGCCTTCTACTGGTCTAAAAAGAGAGGGCCCCACTGTCCAAGGCCTTCTCCTGATCCACGAAGAGGAGGGCCCCAGTGTCCCAAGGCCTTCTGGTCTAAGAAGAGGAGGGCCCCAGTGTCCAAGGCCTTCTCCTGATCTAAGAAGAGGAGGCCCAAGTGTCCCAAGGCCTTCTCCTGGTCCACGAAGAGGAGGCCCCAGTGTCCGAAGGCCTTCTCCTGGTCTAAGAAGAGGAGGCCCAAGTGTCCCAAGGCCTTCTCCTGGTCCACGAAGAGGAGGCCCCAGTGTCCGAAGGCCTTCTCCTGGTCCACGAAGAGGAGGCCCCAGTGTCCAAGGCCTTCTCCTGATCTAGGAAGAGGAGGCCCAAGTGTCCCAAGGCCTTCTCCTGGTCCACGAAGAGGAGGGCCTTCTCCTGGTCTAAGAAGAGGAGGCCCCAGTGTCCAAGGCCTTCTCCTGATCCACGAAGAGGAGGGCCTTCTCCTGGTCTAAGAAGAGGAGGTCCCTGGTGTCCAAGGCCTTCTCCTGGTCTAAGAAGAGGAGGCCCCTGGTGTCCAAGGCCTTCTCCTGATCTAAGAAGAAGAGGGCCCCAGTGTCCCAAGGCCTTCTCCTGATCCACGAAGAGGAGGGCCTTCTCCTGATCTAAGAAGAGGAGGGCCCCAGTGTCCCAAGGCCTTCTCCTGATCCACGAAGAGAGGGCCCAAGGCCTTCTCCTGATCTAAGAAGAGGAGGGCCCCAGTGTCCCAAGGACTTCTCCTGATCCACGAAGAGAGGGCCCAAGGCCTTCTTCTGATCTAAGAAGAGGAGGGCCCCAGTGTCCCAAGGCCTTCTCCTGATCCACGAAGAGAGGGCCCAAGGCCTTCTGATCTAAGAAGAGGAGGCCCCAGTGTCCAAGGCCTTCTCCTGGTCCACGAAGAGGAGGCCCCAGTGTCCAAGGCCTTCTGGTCCACGAAGCGGAGGCCCAGTGTCCCAAGGCCTTCTCCTGGTCTAAGAAGAGGAGGCCCAGTGTCCCAAGGCCTTCTCCTGGTCTAAGAAGAGGAGGCCCCAGTGTCCCAAGGCCTTCTGGTCCACGAAGAGGAGGCCCAGTGTCCCAAGGCCTTCTCCTGATCCACGAAGAGGAGGCCCCAGTGTCCCAAGGCCTTCTCCTGGTCCACCAAGAGGAGGCTCCAGTGTCCAAGGCCTTCTCCTGGTCTAAGAAGAGGACGGCCCAGTGTCCAAGGCCTTCTCCTGGTCCACGAAGAGGAGGCCCCAGTGTCCCAAGGCCTTCTCCTGATCCACGAAGAGGAGGGCCCAGTGTCCCAAGGCCTTCTCCTGGTCCACGAAGAGGAGGCCCCAGTGTCCAAGGCCTTCTGATCTAAGAAGAGGAGGGCCCAGTGTCCAAGGCCTTCTCCTGGTCTAAGAAGAGGAGAGCCCCAGTGTCCAAGGCCTTCTCCTGATCCACGAAGAGGAGGCCCCAGTGTCCAAGGCCTTCTCCTGGTCTAGGAAGAGGAGGCCCCCAGTGTCCAAGGCCTTCTCCTGGTCTAAGAAGAGGAGGGCCCAGTGTCCCAAGGCCTTCTCCTGGTCTAAGAAGAGGAGGGCCCAGTGTCCAAGGCCTTCTCCTGATCTAAGAAGAGGAGGCCCAGTGTCCCAAGGCCTTCTCTTGATCCACGAGGAGGAGGGCCCAGTGTCCAAGGCCTTCTGGTCCACGAAGAGGAGGCCCCAGTGTCCAAGGCCTTCTCCTGGTCCACGAAGAGGAGGCCCCAGTGTCCAAGGCCTTCTCTTGATCCACGAAGAGGAGGCCCCAGTGTCCCAAGGTCTTCTCCTGGTCCACGAAGAGGAGGCCCCAGTGTCCAAGGCCTTCTCCTGGTCCATGAAGAGGAGGGCCCAGTGTCCAAGGCCTTCTCCTGATCCACGAAGAGGAGGGCCCCAGTGTCCAAGGCCTTCTCCTGATCTAAGAAGAGGAGGCCCCAGTCTCCAAGGCCTTCTCCTGATCCATGAAGAGGAGGGCCCAGTGTCCAAGGCCTTCTCCTGATCCACGAAGAGGAGGCCTCAGTGTCCAAGGCCTTCTCCTGATCTAAGAAGAGGAGGCCCCAGTGTCCAAGGCCTTCTCCTGATCCACGAAGAGGAGGGCCCAGTGTCCAAGGCCTTCTCCTGGTCCACGAAGAGGAGGGCCCAGTGTCCAAGGCCTTCTCCTGATCCACGAAGAGGAGCCCCCAGTGTCCCAAGGCCTTCTCCTGATTTAAGAAGAGGAGGGCCCCAGTGTCCCAAGGCCTTCTCCTGGTCCACGAAGAGGAGGCCCAGTGTCCCAAGGCCTTATCCTGGTCTAAGAAGAGGAGGCCCTAGTGTCCAATGCCTTCTGATCTAAGAAGAGGAGGCCCCAGTGTCCCAAGGCCTTCTGGTCCACGAAGAGGAGGCCCAGTGTCCAAGGCCTTCTCCTGGTTTAAGAAGAGGAGGCCCCAGTGTCCAAGGTCTTCTCCTGGTCTAAGAAGAGGAGGGCCCAGTGTCCCAAGGCCTTCTCCTGATCCACGAAGAGGAGGGCCTTCTCCTGGTCTAAGAAGAGGAGGTCCCTGGTGTCCAAGGCCTTCTCCTGGTCTAAGAAGAGGAGGGCCCCAGTGTCCCAAGGCCTTCTCCTGATCCACGAAGAGAGGGCCCAAGGCCTTCTGATCTAAGAAGAGGAGGCCCCTGGTGTCCAAGGCCTTCTCCTGATCTAAGAAGAGGAGGGCCCAGTGTCCCAAGGCCTTATCCTGGTCTAAGAAGAGGAGGCCCCAGTGTCCCAAGGCCTTCTGGTCTAAGAAGAGGAGGCCCCAGTGTCCCAAGGCCTTCTGGTCTAAGAAGAGGAGGCCCCAGTGTCCCAAGGCCTTCTCCTGATCCACGAAGAGGAGGCCCCAGTGTCCCAAGGCCTTTGGTCTAAGAAGAGGAGGCCCCAGTGTCCAAAGAGGAGGGCCCGGGGTAGCAGGACGACCCGTTCCGTGCGGGATCAGCCGATCCAGCGCGCCGTCTTGAGGCGGTTTTTGCCGGCACCGTGGGGAAGAGATTTCGTAGCCGGCGCGCAAAGAGCGGGACGCGCGGCTCGCCCCCTTCTCGGGTTAGCAGGGAGGCCGCCGCTCTCCGGCATCTCCGCGCGAGTCCACAGCGCTTCCGCGGGCCTCCCCGTCCACAGTCGCAGTAGCGGAGGGCCCAAGCTCGTCAAAAGAAGGCCGCGTCAATCCCCGGTGGGGGCTTCAGCAGGGCCACGAGCCGCTTTCGCCTCGCGGTGTGGAGCTCCTCCTTGCGGGGTGACGGGCGCCGTCCCGGACGATCCCGCTCGGGGACTCCTCCTCTAAGGGTGGGGGGCACCCCCCCAACCCCCGTCCCCTCCCGTCCGGCGGCATTGGCGACCTCGCCCTCGGGTGCGGCCGCTTGTCCGTCCGGGGGTTCGCAAACTCGAACGTCCGTTGCCGTTGGCCGGTGCTTTCGTTTGAGGCGTGGGAGACGCGTGTCCGCCTCGCGACAGGCGCCTGCTGTCTCCCCGCGACGCACCTGACAGGCCGCTGGCTTGTCCCAGCAGCGTCTGGCCCCGTCGTGTGCCTCGGGACGGGCTCAGGGCCCGGCTCGGGCGCCAGCAAGCTCGGGACGGGCTCAGGGCCCGGCTCGGGCGCCAGTGAGCTCGGGACGGGCTCAGGGCCCGGCTCGGGCGCCAGCAAGCTCGGGACGAGCTCAGGGCCCGGCTCGGGCGCCAGCAAGCTCGGGACGAGCTCAGGGCCCGGCTCGGGCGCCAGCGAGCAAAGAGCCCCCTTCTGGCTCGTGAACCCCTTGACGGAGAGCCGCCTGAACCTGCGCCTTTGGTGCCGTCCCACCGCGGCTGGTGGGAGCTGAGGTTCGCCCTGTTGGGCAGGCGGCCGGCTGAGCCCACGAGGCTTTGAAGGTTCGTGAGGCAGGGCCGCGATCCGCCCCCGGGAATCCGCGCGGGGCGGCGGCAGAGTCCGCCCGTTTGTTGCCGTTGGCGATGGCACGGCGCCCCGTCCTGCCTGTCTCTGTGTGTCGCTGTGTGTGTGTGTCGCTGTGTGTGTGTGTCGCTGTGTGTGTGTGTCGCTGTGTGTGTGTCGCTGTGTGTCTCTGTGTGTGTGTGTCGCTGTGTGTGTGTGTCGCTGTGTGTGTGTGTCGCTGTGTGTGTGTGTCGCTGTGTGTGTCGCTGTGTGTCTCTGTGTGTGTGTGTCGCTGTGTGTGTGTGTCGCTGTGTGTGTGTCGCTGTGTCTGTCTCTGTGTGTGTCTCTGTGTGTCTCTGTGTGTGTGTGTCGCTGTGTGTGTGTGTCGCTGTGTGTGTGTCTCTGTGTGTGGCTCTGTGTCTGTCTCTGTGTGTCGCTGTGTGTGTGTCTCTTTGTGTGTCTCTGTCTCTGTGTCTCTGTGTGTGGCTCTGTGTCTGTCTCTGTGTGTCTCTGTGTGTGTGTCTCTGTGTGTGTCTCTGTGTGTGTGTCTCTGTGTGTGGCTCTGTGTCTGTCTCTGTGTGTCTCTGTGTGTGTGTCTCTGTGTGTGTGTCTCTGTGTGTGTCTCTGTGTGTGTCTCTGTGTGTGTGTGTCTGTGTGTCACTGTGTGTGTGTGTCTCTGTGTCTCTGTGTCTGTGTCTCTGTGTGTGTCTCTGTGTGTGTCTCTGTGTGTGTGTGTCTGTGTGTGTGTGTGTCTCTGTGTCTCTGTGTGTCGCTGTGTTTGTGTCTGTCTGTGTGTGTGTCTCTGTGTGTGTCTCTGTGTGTGTGTCTGTGTGTGTGTGTCTGTGTGTGTGTGTCTCTGTGTGTGTGTCTCTGTGTGTGTGTCTCTGTGTGTGTGTCTCTGTGTGTGTGTGTCGCTGTGTGTGTGTGTCGCTGTGTGTGTGTCTCTGTGTGTGTGTGTCTCTGTGTGTGTGTGTCTCTGTGTGTGTGTGTGTCTCTGTGTGTGTGTCACTGTGTGTGTGTCTCTGTGTGTGTGTGTCTCTGTGTGTGTCTCTGTCGTGTGTGTCTGTGTGTGTGTGTGTCTGTGTGTGTGTGTGGTGTGTGTGTCTCTGTGTGTGTGTGTCTCTGTGTGTGTGTGTCTCTGTGTGTGTGTCTCTGTGTGTGTGTGTGTGTGTCTCTGTGTGTGTGTGTCTCTGTGTGTGTCTCTGTCGTGTGTGTCTGTGTGTGTGTGTGTCTCTGTGTGTGTGTGTGGTGTGTGTGTCTCTGTGTGTGTGTGTCTCTGTGTGTGTGTGTCTCTGTGTGTGTCTCTGTCGTGTGTGTCTCTGTGTGTGTGTGTCTCTGTGTGTGTGTGTGTGTGGTGTGTGTGTCTCTGTGTGTGTGTGTCTGTGTGTGTGTGTGTCTCTGTGTGTGTGTGTCTCTCTGTGTGTCTGTGTCTCTGTGTCTCTGTGTGTGTCTCTGTTGTGTCTCTGTGTGTGTCTCTGTGTGTGTGTCTGTGTGTGTGTCTGTGTGTGTCTCTCTCTCTGTGTGTGTCTGTGTCTTTGTGTGTGTCTCTGTGTGTGTCTGTGTCTTTGTGTGTGTCTCTGTGTGTGTCTCTGTGTGTGTCTCTCTGTGTGTGTCTCTCTGTGTGTGTCTCTCTGTGTATGTGTGTCTCTCTGTGTGTGTCTGTGTCTCTGTGTCTGTCTCTGTGGTGTGTGTGTGTGTCTCTGTGTCTGTCTCTGTGTGTCGCTGTGTGTGTTTCTGTGGTGTGTGTCTCTGTGTGTGTGTCTCTCTGTGTCTCTGTGGTGTGTGTGTGTCTCTGTGTGTGTGTCTCTCTGTGTGTGTCTGTGTCTCTGTGTCTCTCTCTCTGTGGTGTGTGTGTCTCTGTGTGTGTGTCTCTGTGTGTGTGTCTCTGTCTCTGTGTCTCTGTGTTGCTGTGTCTGTGTGTGTCTCTGTGTGTGTGTCTCTCTCTGTGTGTGTGTCTCTCTGTGTCTCTCTGTCTCTGTGTCGCTGTGTCTCTCTCTGTGTGTCTCTCTCTCTCTGTGTCGCTGTGTCTCTCTGTGTGTGTCTCTCTGTGTGTGTGTCTCTGTGTGTGTGTCTCGGTCTCTCTGTATATCTCTCTCACTCTCTCTCTGTGTCTCTCTGTATATATCTCTCTCTCACTGTCTCTCTCTCTCTCTGTGTCTCTCCCCCCATGTACTCGCAGACAGAATACCGGGCATCTCTCACGGGCGAGTGGCTGGCCATGATGACGGATCTGGGAGTGGCGCATAGCCCCAACTGCAGCTTTGTCACTCTGCTTGGAGACCAAATCCTCATCCGCTCTGCACATGTGCCTCTCCACCCCACTGCATTCCACTCTAAATCCACACTCCACTCTTAATCCACACTCCACTCTTAATCCACACTCCACTCTTAATCCACACTCCACTCTAAATCCACACTCCACTCTAAATCCACACTTCACTCTTAATCCACACTCCACTCTAAATCCACACTCCACACTAATCCACACTCCACTCTAAATCCACACTCCACTCTAAATCCACACTCCACACTAAATCCACACTCCACTCTAAATCCACACTCCACACTAAATCCACACTCCACTCTTAATCCACACTCCACTCTTAATCCACACTCCACTCTTAATCCACACTCCACTCTTAATCCCCACTCCACTCTTAATCCACACTCCACTCTTAATCCACACTCCACTCTTAATCCACACTCCACTCCACTCTTAATCCACACTCCACTCTTAATCCACACTCCACTCTTAATCCACACTCCACTCTAAATCCACACTCCACTCTAATCCACACTCCACTCTTAATCCACACTCCACTCTAAATCCATACTCCACTCTTAATCCACACTCCACTCTTAATCCACACTCCACACTAATCCACACTCCACTCTAAATCCACACTCCACTCTTAATCCACACTCCACTCTTAATCCACACTCCACTCTTAATGCACACTCCACACTAATCCACACTCCACTCTAAATCCACACTCCACTCTAATCCACACTCCACTCTAAATCCACACTCCACACTAATCCACACTCCACTCTAAATCCACACTCCACACTAAATCCACACTCCACTCTTAATCCACACTCCACTCTAAATCCACACTCCACTCTAAATCCACACTCCACTCTTAATCCACACTCCACTCTAAATCCACACTCCACACTAATCCACACTCCACTCTAAATCCACACTCCACTCTAAATCCACACTCCACTCTAAATCCACACTCCACTCTAAATCCACACTCCACTCTTAATCCACACTCCACTCTTAATCCACACTCCACTCTTAATCCACACTCCACTCTTAATCCACACTCCACTCTTAATCCACACTCCACTCTAAATCCACACTCCACTCTAAATCCACACTCCACTCTAAATCCACACTCCACTCTAATCCACACTCCACTCTAATCCACACTCCACACTAATCCACACTCCACTCTAATCCACACTCCACTCTAAATCCACACTCCACTCTTAATCCACACTCCACTCTTAATCCACACTCCACACTAAATCCACACTCCACACTAAATCCACACTCCACTCTTAATCCACACTCCACTCTAAATCCACTGACGGTAATTCCCCTCCTAAATCCACACTCCACACTAAATCCCAACTCCACTCTAATCCACACTCCACTCTTAATCCACACTCCACACTAATACACACTCCACTCTTAATCCACACTCCACTCTTAATCCACACTCCACTCTTAATCCACACTCCACTCTTAATTCACACTCCACTCTAAATCCACACTCCACACTAAATCCACACTCCACTCTAATCCACACTCCACTCTTAATCCACACTCCCATCTTAATCCACTCTCCACACTAATCCACACTCCACTCTTAATCCACACTCCACTCTTAATCCACACTCCACTCTAAATCCACACTCCACTCTTAATCCACACTCCACTCTTAATCCACACTCCACTCTTAATCCACACTCCACTCTTAATCCCCACTCCACTCTTAATCCACACTCCACTCTTAATCCACACTCCACTCTTAATCCACACTCCACTCTTAATCCACACTCCACTCTTAATCCACACTCCACTCTTAATCCACACTCCACTCTAAATCCACACTCCACTCTAATCCACACTCCACTCTTAATCCACACTCCACTCTAAATCCATACTCCACTCTTAATCCACACTCCACTCTTAATCCACACTCCACACTAATCCACACTCCACTCTAAATCCACACTCCACTCTTAATCCACACTCCACTCTTAATCCACACTCCACTCTTAATGCACACTCCACACTAATCCACACTCCACTCTAATCCACACTCCACTCTAATCCACACTCCACTCTTAATCCACACTCCACTCTAATCCACACTCCACTCTAATCCACACTCCACACTAAATCACACTCCACACTAAATCCACACTCCACACTAATCCACACTCCACTCTAAATCCACACTCCACACTAAATCCACACTCCACTCTTAATCCACACTCCACACTAAATCCACACTCCACTCTCAATCCACACTCCACACTAAATCCACACTCCACTCTAAATCCACACTCCATACTAATCCACACTCCATACATTAACCCCACTCCACACTAATCCACACTCCACTCTTAATCCACACTCCACTCTTAATCCACACTCACACTAATCCACACTCCACACTAATCCACACTCCACTCTTAATCCACACTCCACTCTAAATCCACACTCCACTCTAAATCCACACTCCACTCTAATCCACACTCCACTCTAAATCCACACTCCACTCTAAATCCACACTCCACACTAAATCCACACTCCACTCTCAATCCACACTCCACACTAAATCCACACTCCACTCTAAATCCACACTCCATACTAATCCACACTCCATACATTAACCACACTCCACACTAATCCACACTCCACTCTTAATCCACACTCCACTCTTAATCCACACTCCACACTAATCCACACTCCACACTAATCCACACTCCACTCTTAATCCACACTCCACTCTAAATCCACACTCCACTCTAAATCCACACTCCACTCTAAATCCACACTCCACTCTAAATCCACACTCCACTCTAATCCACACTCCACTCTTAATCCACACTCCACACTAAATCCACACTCCACTCTTAATCCACACTCCACTCTAAATCCACACTCCACTCTTAATCCACACTCCACACTAATCCACACTCCACTCTTAATCCACACTCCACTCTTAATCCACACTCCACACTAAATCCACACTCCACACTAATCCACACTCCACTCTTAATCCACACTCCACTCTTAATCCACACTCCACACTAATCCACACTCCACACTAAATCCACACTCCACTCTTAATCCACACTCCACTCTTAATCCACACTCCACTCTAAATCCACACTCCACACTAATCCACACTCCACTCTTAATCCACACTCCACTCTTAATCCACACTCCACTCTTAATCCACACTCCACTCTTAATCCACACTCCACCAAAAAAAAAACTTTAAAAACAAATTCCCTTACACTCCAAAAAACACTCACACTAATCCACACTCCACTGTTAATCCACACTCCACTCTAAATCCACCTCCACACTAAATCCACACTCCACGCTAATCCACACTCCACACTAAATCCACACCTCACTCTAATCCACTTAATCCACACTAAATCCACACTCCACTCTTAATCCACACTCCACTCTAATCCACACTCCACTCTTAATCCACACTCCACTCTTCTTCACACTCCACTCTAATCCACACTCCACTCTTAATCCACACTCCACTGTTAATCCACACTCCACTCTTAATCCACACTCCACACTAAATCCACACTCCACTCTTAATCCACACTCCACTCTTAATCCACACTCCATTCTTAATCCACACTCCACTCTACATCCAAACTCCACTCTTAATCCACACTCCACTCTAAATCCACACTCCACTCTAAATCCACACTCCACTCTTAATCCACACTCCACTCTAAATCCACACGCAACTCTTAATCCACACTCCACTCTTAATCCACACTCCACTCTAAATCCACACTCCACTCGTAAATCCACACTCCACTCTTAATCCACACTCCACTCTAATCCCACACTCCACTCTTAATCCACACTCCACATCTTAATCCACACTCCACATTCTTAATCCCACTCCACTCTACATCCAAACTCCACTCTTAATCCACACTCAACTCTTAATCCACACTCCACTCTAAATCCACACTCCACTCTTAAGCCACACACTCCACATCTAAATCCACACTCCACTCTTAATCCACACTCCACATCTAATCCCACACTCCCACATCTAATCCACACTCCACTGCTAAATCCACACTCCACTCTAATCCACACTCCACATCTTAATCCCACACTCCACTCTTACTCCACACTCCACATCTAATCCAACACTCCACAACTTGAAAAAATCCACACTCCACTCTAAATCCACACTCCACTCTTAATCACACACTCCACTCTTAATCCACACTCCACTCTAATCCACACTCCACTCTAAATCACCACTCCACTCTTAATCCACACTCCACTCTAAATCCACACTCCACTCTTAATCCACACTCCACTCTTAATCCACACTCCACTCTTAATCCACACTCCACTCTAATCCACACTCCACTCTTAATCCACACTCCACTCTTAATCCACACTCCACTCTTAATCCACACTCCACTCTAATCCACACTCCACACTAATCCACACTCCACTCTTAATCCACACTCCACTCTAATCCACACTCCACTCTAATCCACACTCCACTCTTAATCCACACTCCACTCTAAATCCACACTCCACACTAATCCACACTCCACTCTTAATCCACACTCCACTCTAATTCCACACTCCGCTCTAATCCACACTCCACTCTTAATCCACACTCCACTCTAATCCACACTCCACACTAATCCACACTCCACTCTAAATCCACACTCCACTCTAAATCCACACTCCACTCTAAATCCACACTCCACACTAAATCCACACTCCACACTAAATCCACACTCCACACTAAATCCACACTCCACTCTAATCCACACTCCACACTAATCCACACTCCACTCTAAATCCACACTCCACACTAAATCCACACTCCACTCTTAATCCACACTCCACACTAATCCACACTCCACTCTAAATCCACACTCCACTCTAAATCCACACTCCACTCTTAATCCACACTCCACTCTAAATCCACACTCCACTCTAAATCCACACTCCACTCTTAATCCACACTCCACACTAATCCACACTCC